GCCGTGGACGGGATGTCGGCAACCTATATAGCATGCCCTGACAAAAATGAAGTGTCAACAAAGTGGCAACGAAGTGTCAAGGAAGTGTTGAAACGAAGTGTTATCGAAGCTGCAATTGGCACAACGAAGTGTCAACGAAGTGTCAAAGGGAAGATACAACAAAGTGGCAACGAAGTGTTATTGAAGTGTCAAGGAAGTGTTAAGGAAGTGTCAATGAAGTATGTATGCGAGGTGTTCACGAAGTGACAACGAGGCGTCAGGGAAGTGGTGAGAAACCTTTGCTCAAGCCCCACTTCATTCACCGGAAAAAAGGCTCTTCAAATTGACACAAGAAAATCTATTATTTCATCTTTTTTTATTAGACATAACTTACAGGCTGATTATTGTCTTGCACTTTGGCTTAAAATTGAATAAGGTTGGAGGATTCAGATCTTTTAAGTAGTAAAATGTCCCTGAAATAAAACAAAAATACAGTTAGTTCAATAAAATCTTTCAAAGATTAATGCGAGACTATAGGAAAAATCAGAATTGTAAACTGCACTTACCGTACTACAGCTGTTTGTCTGGATCTACTTGCATCGTCTTGAAAATCACTTCCCTTAAATGTGCTAATATAGGGGATAACGAAAACATCTGTATTAATAATTTGAAGGTAAAGGTATGGACATAAAAATGTAACATATTAGCTTACCTTGCCTTATATAGTTTTCAGACTATTCAATATTTGCAGAAATGTAGTTGTTGATCTGCAAAACGAAATAGGACTGAAAATAGAGCAGATGCAGTGCTAAGAAAAAGCATTTTCAGGGGATAAACTCACAACTAAAGGTACAGTTTGAATTTAAATATAGCAGGTTACTTACAAAACTGAAATAGCACTATGCAGTGGCACTTAGTGTAGAAAAGCCATGGAATAATTTGTGTGTTCAAAACATCCATGTTTTGGTGGTAAAATCCACGGCTTCCTGTAATGCGTGAAGAACATTTAGAAAAAGTGCACTTGATAGTAAGGAAATGAAGAATGTAGAAAAGGCAAACTTACTGAGGTTATGTTTTCGTCCCGTGAACAGGCCAAATGGTTTGTA